CTGCTGAGAAACATTCGGCTATCGCATGAACCTATAAGAGCATATTTGCATCCATAAACGTATCCAGTAAAGCAACAGAGTCCAGGCCCTAACGAAACGCCGCCCTGACTGCAAGCACTCACGCACACACAGTGCTCTGTATTACCTACCAACCTATTTCGCTAGATACGCACATGCAAAATTTCCCGCAACATGACCAAAATTGCACTTACGGCATTCATGCGATCGATTTTGCCGACACCGGGATGGCAAGCGAAAGGTCGCAGGTAAGAAAATCCGCATTCTATTTATGTGGGAAGCATGTTCATCGGTGCAGTCTCTGACGCAAAACGTACACCAGATCGTGTGTTGCACGCGTAGACGGACTGTTCAGTTTTGTGAGTTATTTCGCTTTGCCACAACAGGGCGGTAGGTGTGAGAGGGAGAAGTGAGGCAGATGCCACAAAATCGTACTTCATTTTAAACTAATATGTGCATAATTCGCGACTGCTGGGCTCACATCGTGGGACAGTGGTAGACCCCGTAAACGGCAACGATCAAAGTGTCATGTCTGGTTCACGTGTCACGCAGAAGCCCATTCCCAAGGAGGCTATGCGTGAAAATATTTTCCGAAAGATAGAAAGAAAGAAAGACGGGACGTTTTAGTGACAGTTGACTAACACAGACCACGTCTGAGTCTTTGCGCGCGTTGCTAGGGATGGTTTATTCATCGAAGTGAAGGAGATTGATCAAAAGCACTTTCAAAATCAAAAAAATAGATTTTGCAATCCGTATAAAAAAGGTGAAGCCGGATGTGAATGGAGCTTTTTTGAGAAATATAGTGGTAATCGGCTTCAAAAATGTATAGTTGAGAACGAGTTCGGTTTTGTGCCATAACAGCAGTAATGTCTGCATGAAACCTTTCGTTGTGCAACGTCCGAAACTTATAGAGATGAACGAATGTCTTCAAAGAAACGGCGGAATAGCCTAGCATGTTTTGGTCAATTCCTATTTGCGTGCTGAGATTTTCCTTGCAGATAATTCACGACTATCACATAATTCAGAAGCGGGACGAGTATCACGCTAGCTGTTTAAGAAATGAAAGAGAAGGTTCGTGTTCCGGGTATTTGTATCGGTAAAGAAGACAGAAGATCGAACACTGGAACGATTTGTATTTTATTGTGAGCTTTATGACTCTTACCGGAGTACATCGTCAGAGATGCCTACGCGTTCTTCCCCAGAGGACCCAAACAGAAGAACCACCGAAGATATGGCATATTGCCATACAAAAAGGACGTCTCAGAAACGACTGAGCGCATCACTGCGGGGACTAGGTGTTGGAATTGCACACAGACTCAAAGCTACCATGCGCAGCAGGGTGATGAAAATAAAAGACCGGCTTACGCAG